TCTTATTCACCCCCCTTCAAATAAAGTGTTACCGACCTTTTAAACAAAACACATGGAAAAACTTTTTTCTGAAAGTATTATTTGTATCAAGCAAAGTCTGAGACAAACACCAGTTAGAATAAAAGTGCCTGACAGCTTATAGAGGATATTCAGAGCACTCCAAAAACACCAAATACTATAAAGTATTTTTGATTAGTTTCTAATGTAAATATCTCAGTTCACTTGAAATAAGACAAACTAACTTACAAGTAACTTTTTTAGCAAGATATTAGGAGCTGGTTTTAAGTAAATAATCTCTTAATATTGATGCCAATCTTCCACTGGCAGGTTATTTCACTTATAACAAGACATTTTTCCCATGTTATAATTATAACTTTTTCATCAATATTAAGGAAATATTAACTTAAAACAAACTCCTGTATGTTGCTGACAATTTACTTATGTTTGTTTTGTATTATTTCAAGTGTAACAACATATTTGCAATAGAAGTTAGACCAAAATTATTTGGTTAGATTTTGTTTTTGCAGTGTGGTTTAGATATTCTTTTATCCCTGACAACCTTTTTACCTTCTGAACCACTTACTTTCTTCCAGACATTATTGTACTGCATTATTTATCACTTCAATAAAGAGGTGCTGTACATTGTTTTAAATTCATGAAGCTAATTTTAAGCTGCAGCCTTGATTCATCACCAGAGTTTGGAAAAGTTTTTAAATTTAAGTCTGAGCATTCATATGATAATTAGTAGGAAGAGAGACGGCATTAAAGAGAGGGATGACATTAGCAGACGACTGGGATTGGATTTTGGTGATTATATTTTGGCCAGATGAGATGTAGTGAACATTTGATCCTCACTAACCTGCTGATTTTCAGCCTTGCAGCAAAGTTCAGCTAATCACCAAATCGACAGCTATCCGTTCTGCTAACTCACATCAGCTCTGTGAAACTATGTCTGCTTTTTGTTTCTCTCTTTTGATTTTCCTCCAGTTTAGCTCTTAGTTTCTTCTGTCTTTCAAGTGAACTTGAGTGACTTTGCTCATGCGTGCACAAATTCACTTCTGTAATAATTCATTTGTTCAGTTTCCAGCTGCTGGGTTGTAAAAAATGTAAGGGGAAAAAAGACGTGAAAAGCAGGTGGCTTTGACTGTAACGGACACAGAAAGTGACTCAGTGACTTTGTGCCGAATGTTGAGCTGTCACAAACAGTGCCTACAAAATGAGACCCAGCATCCATGATGTGTTTAGTAAAAAAAATGTTCACATTTGTTCCACAGCGTTAGGCTGCGCTGCACACTGTTCATTTAGTAGCTTTCATGAAAGGGCATAACAAAACATTACTGTTTCAGTTTCAAAAATGATTACAAAACACACTCCATGTCATTTTATTACAATGTTAGCTTGTTAATTTATAAGTATTTCCACCATTTTCAAACACACAGTCCTGTTAGTATTGGTAGCTTACAAGGTTTACACAGATTAGTCAAAAGCAAACAAAATCTGATACAAAAACTTGACAGAATATTTAATTTTTTCATGTTTTTAATTTGTAGCTTCAATATTTTACATTTTCAGTTAAAATTCTGTTGTTTTTAGTGAAGATTAATGAATATTTAGGTGCTGCGGCTGAATCTGCATGCAGTGCAGGTACTGGATACTGGGTGCTGTGACAAATAGGTCTGTGCAGATGGCTAAGCACAGCTATTTTAGTCATTACTGTATTATTCATATTAAAGAAACTCACACACTACTGCCGCATGCTGATGGTGTGGGTAGAGCAATCAGATCAGAGAGATTTAACCCACATGGCATATTCATATTCAGATCCACATTTTATCTATAAATTCACTGCATTTTTGGGGCGATTTGATGCAACAGAGCGGCACAGATTTAGATGAAAGCAAAGAATCACTGGCAGCAAAGACACAACCCAAAATATTAAGAACAGTTAAAAATGGTAGAAATTCATATTTTGCTCTGCTGAAAATTCAGAAGTTTCTAAGCAGAACTTCAAAATGCAAAAAAACTAAATGAGCTGCTCATAAAATGATTTTTACTGCAAAAATACAGGATATAAGAGCTTGTTTTAAGTCAATAATTCTTTAATATTGAAGAAAAAGTTCTAGTTTCATTGGAAAATTATTTAACTTTTATTTTTCCCAGTTTATAAGTGATAATCTTTCATTGGAACAAAAATGTTTTCATCAGCATAATGTAATCATTTACATCAAACAGGTTTCTATATCTTGTTTAAAATTTACTTGTAGTTTTGCTTTATTTCAAGTGTACTAAGGTATTTGAACTAGAAGCTAGATCAAACATACTTGGTAAGATTTTGTGTTTTTGCAGTGTGCACTTTGAAATTTTACTTATTTTTGGTCATTTTTAATCAATCAATCAGTCTGCATAGCATAGCAGTTCAAATTGGTTTACTTTGTAAAAACACAAAAATAAAAAGCAACAAAAACAACATGAAGTCAACAATTTATAAACCAAACATTATATTTTAATGTCAGATATGTTGGTCAGTGTTCCAGGTATTATTAATCAAAAGCAGCTCTAACAGGTGAGTTTTAACTTTGATTTAAATGAACTCTGTGTTTTGGTTGTTTCGCAGTTTTCTGGAAGTTTGTTCCAGATTTTTGTTGTGTAGAAGTTGAATGCTGCTTCTCCTTTCAACCTTTCAATCCACAGGGAAAAAAAACCCTTAATGCTGAAAGAACAAAACTAGAACATAAATAAATGTCCATCCTCTTTCAGGTGATGGACAGGTTGACTTTGAGGAGTTCATGACGATTCTGGGCCCCAAGCTGCTGTCGTCTGAAACGAGAGAAGGCTTCCTGGGCAGCACGATAGACACCATCTTCTGGCAGGTAAATCTGAATCCTTTCAGCAGCTACTGTGGCTTTTATTGTGATTTAATCCAAATGTTCACAGCCGGATGCTGACACATCAGATCTGAAACGTTAAAGAATGGAACTGAAGACGATGAACATGAAGGCTTCAGGATTAGAGGGAAAAATGAGTAAAACTGACTGATAAAACAGAATTAATCCAATAGAAAAAGAAACAAACTGCTGTGTGTGTGTGTGTGTGTGTGTGTGTAGGTGTGTAGGTGTGTAGGTGTGTGCGTGTACCAGGTTTTTATATCCTTATGGGAACCTATCTACAATGTGGGGTTATGGGGACCATTGCTCCTTGTGGGGACATTTTCTTGGTCCCCATGAGGGAAATTGTTGTTTTTGGGTTAGTGGTTCGGTCTGTGGTGGTTAGGTTTTGGGTAAAGGTTAAGATGAGGGTTAGACTGTAGAAATTAATGAAAGTCAATGTGAAGTCCCCACAAGTGACGAAAACATGTCTGTGTGTGTGTAAAGGGCAGGATATCTGGCACCTGTAAAGCTTTTACCAAAATCTCCATCTTGACCAGTGTTACCTCTGGGTCACAACTTATGGTCTGCACTGTAAAACTACAGGGCGAACGTACTTCCAACAACATCGACTTATCGAAATACGGTGCTGCTTCCACATTTTGTTTTCTGTAATAAACGTTTGCCTGGGAGCGATGGGCCTCCTCTGGAGTGTAAAGGAAGCTTAGAGAGGATGAAATAAACAGCAAAGCTTGGTTTATGACAACTATAAGTCGACGTAGCTCATAAATGATGTGCTGAAGATTCAGTTTTTGTTTTTTTATAGTCTGTGATAATTTGGGAATGTGAATCTCAGAAGCTTGGTTATTGCTTTAGAATGTCTTGTTTGAAGTAAAAGTTAAATGTTGAAAGGTGTTTGTTTCTAGAGTTGCGTCGCTCACTGTGGCAGGATGTTGGATTCCTTGTTTTATAGACTTTTGTTCATAATTTTTGTTATTATGGACAATTATTCCATCTGGTTTTGGATTCTGTGCAGCTGGAAGAATGAACTAATGAACTTTCAGACAGTTGCTATGAATCAACATGTTATTTATATAATTAGGAACAGCTGATTAGCATCTTAAAAGCTCAAATAGCATCTGAACTTTGACCCCCAAACCTCAGACGAGATGAAAAGGAGACATCTAGGATGCATAGCAAAGAGAGAAGGAAGTTCATTGTATTTTTCCCATCAGTCATCATGATCATGTCCCCTCCTCTAATGTTATGTTGTCCCCTTCTCCAACATCAGTCATAATGGACAACAATCATCTCCCCT